GATCAAGACTTTGAAGTCTAATGGTTGCTCCACCTGCAGCAACCTCCCTCCCAGGAGGGTCCATGGAGTTGCTGGAAAGGTTGAGGGACTTGAGATTATTGCACGACGACCAAGGCTATAGATATCAGAAACAGGCCCTGAGATGAAGTTTTCAGCTAGATCTATGTAGCTAAGAGAAGCAGAGCATTGGGATTTTAAGGCAGAAGTGAGAGAGCCGCTGAGATTGGTGTTCTTCAACACAAGGTTCTGCAAGTTTTCAAGACTAAGCAAGTAAGTAGGAACCAAGCCAAAATCTACGCTGAGCATAGTGTCTGTGAGATGTATAGAAGACCCTTTGAGCCCTTGCATGTAATACCAGTGAAGCTACAGGGATTTTTAGAGGATACCCAGTTTGAAGTGGGCTTTGGTTAAAAATGCTAGCTTTGAAGGATAATAGCAACTGCGAGTCCTGTAAAGCCCATTGAGAGCAGTTGGTGAATATGAGCAACATAAGTGGAAGAAGAAAGATGGAGATTGAGTGCTGGTGTAAATAGAGAAAGAAAGCATTGTAGGGAAAACTAGTGTAATTAGGCCTCATCTTTGGTTTCTGCAAGTATATTATATATGGGTTTCTCAATCTTTTCATGGTCCTAGTTTTAGGCCAAGTGAAATAGCCCTTTCAGTGGTTGAAGAATGTGAATTTGGCAAGGAGAAATGGAGGAAGAAGAATACAAGGCATGATGAAGAGGCTCAGCTGCAGCATTTTCAAACAATTAATTAAGCTAAAAGGACTGAAAACCAAATCTATTGCTTAATGTGACCAGAAATTAATTGGAAAATTATTGTGTGGACCATGAATGCAATATACATTTTTAATATACTAAAAGTACATTATTTATGTACTGAATGTACATTATTTGATAATATATAAAAAATCATGTACTTTCAAATAATGTATTTTATGTATACTACTTTCAAATAGATAAAAATGAGTTAAGTACGTGCGCCTTGTTTATGTTAATTATCTATTTTTTTTATTCATTTTTCTTCCTCAATTTTTTGCTCTTTAATTTAGAGAATAGATCTATCAATACTTTTTTTTTTTTTTCTTTCTTTTCTTTACTTGAGTTTGGCTTGATTTCTTACACGGAGTGACATTTGTTTGGGTTTGTTGGGTGAAATATTATTTGGGTGAAATTCTATATAATTATTGGAGGACTTATAGATGTTGATATTCACATTCACTTTTCTTGTGTTGCCACACTCTGCAGTATAGTGCTATGTGATTCTACTAGGTGTAGAACACATCAAAAAAATTTAAGTGTTAATTGAAGATATGAAAAACATACTTGGGACAATGTAACAAAAGGTTCCCACACTAGCATGTTTTGGATTTGTTTCAATTGCTGACATATTTGTTAATCCAAAGTCTGATTGAATTCAGACTCTGGGACTTTAAGAGTAGTGTTGTTAGAGTTGATATCTTGATGCAATCGTGGTGTATATAATTGATCGTACGCATGTGAGGCCTGTGAACAGGTAAACATGCTTCATTAATTCCTCCAATGGTTAAGTTGCCTGTTTCAATTCCTGGTGAATATTATTCATTTTGGAACTCCAATATAATTACTATTGCGCTCCAGAAAGTTTATTTATCACTTTAACATCTAAGAAAATCAAGGAAACAAAGTGGAGTTGCATTATGAATATGAATTATGATGGATCCTGCATAATTGCACTGTCAATGCAATAGTCAAATTAAATTAAACAAAACCATTGCAAAATGTTTTCTAATGGGACAAGTCCATTCAAAAGTAAAGTGGAATATTATATTGTCTATTGGCTCTCTAGAGACAGATGATTGTTTTCGCTGTATCTTTGAAGAATCTGTGAAATATCTTCATGGACGGCCTGCTTGATGGGGAATTCAAAGTGCATGCAAGGCCTAATTTGAAAACAACGATCATTGCCTCCAGATAACATGGGTCCTTGATCTCCTCATCTATGGCATCTGCAGCCGAGTTCCCTTCTCTTTGGTATTTGTGTGCCCATTGTGCCAGGTTCATATCCTCATTTCCTGTCACTGCTTCTCTTCCCGTTGTCAATTCCGAAGTACTACGCCAAAACTGTAGATGTCGCTCTTTCGCGTCCACTTTTCTTGTTCTGCTGTATTCTGCATTCCCATGATATATGTGATTCTGCAGGTATAAAAAGCAGTGGGAATTGAAGTGATGAAGATATAAAAAAAAATGTACCCGGGCAATGTAACCAAAGGTTCCCACAATAGCAGATGCTGTTTCTGGATCTCCTTCACTCGCCATCATCTTTGCCAGTCCAAAGTCTGCAATCTTGACATTGAAGTCAGAGTCGACGAGTATGTTACTGGATTTGATATCTCGATGAACAATGGGTGGACTGCAATCATGATGCATATAGCAGAGGCCTTGTGCAGCTCCAATGGCAATTTTTAGTCTTGTCTCCCAGTTCAAGACTTGAGTAGTTAAGCCTTTCTTCTTTCCATGCAACCATTTATGAAGGCATTGTTTGTCCATGTATTCATACACAAGAAGCTTTGTCGTCTTTCCTCTGATGCAGCATAGCAATTTCACTATGTTGTTGTGCCAAATTCCCCCAAGGATCTTAACCTCTGCTATGAACTGTTTCTCCATTAATCCATGCCCTTGCTTTTGTTCATGCCTTATACTTTTAACAGCAACTCTTTGGCCTTTCTTGGTAATCACTCTATATACTTTTCCTGACCCTCCATTTCCAATCAAATTTTCATCTATCAAACCACTCAAAATATCCCATTTATTGAATTCCAACCTTTGAAATGAAATCATACTCCATTCTTCTCCATCACTTTGTTTTCTCCTTCCCACCCTAGGTCTGAACACCAGTATCAGAATTCCTATCCCAATGATGAGTACTACTGCCGCTGCAATCACGACACAAGTTACAATCCTCGTATGATTTGGTTTCGAAGGTTGGGTTTTGTTTGATTTACTTAGCTCATTGGAACTTCTGCAGTTTATGTGCAGTGGAATTGTATAATCCCGAAAAGCTTTGGGAAGGGCATGTTGGGAGTTCCATAACCATTTGTTCAGAGCTAGAAAACAGCTGTTCTGAACATAAATTCACATGATCAAGGCATGTGTCCACAAATTTTAGCTTTACTAGCTCGTAAGGTATTCTCCCAGAAAAGTGGTTCTTGCACATCCTAAGGTTAGTCTCGCATCCCACATATGGCTAACAGATTCACATATGTCTCCGGAAAATTTGTTATATGATACATCAATATTCTGCAATTGATGTAGTTCTCCAAAGCCTCTTGGAATACTTCCACTCAGATGATTATGAGAAAGATCTATGCTACTCAGACTAAGCAAGTCAAATAATCTAGCAGGAATTTCACCAGTCAAATTGTTTGAGGCAAGTGAAAGATGAGAGAGTTGATGCAACCGCAACAATGTAGCAGGTATTGGACCACTCAAAGTATTCATGGACAAATTTAAGTAGCTAAGGTTGTAAAAATTTCCTATATCATCTGGTATTGATCCATTCAAATGGTTACTTGAAAGATCAAGAGACTCCAAACTATAAGCCACCATGGGTGTTGATATCTCACCGGAAAACATGTTGTGTTGAAGATTTAAACTACGCAGGGTTTTCATGGAAACAACTCACCTGCTATTTTTCCTGCCAAATGATTTGTGGATAGATCCAAGGTTTCAAGCTTTGAGCAGCTGGAGAGGTTAGCTGGTATAGTTCCCCCAGAGACTATTGGAACTGAAATTGATTGAAACAAGGTTGTTGAGCTGGCATATAATAGTTGAGGCCGGGAATGATCCTGGGATGCTCATTCCAGAGAGAGATATCCGTGTGACACTTGCATTGAAGTTGCATGAAATTCCAGCCAGTCACATGGGGAGGAAATGGAGTTCCACTGCTCAAATAGTGAAAATGGATACCCCCAGTGTTGTTTTAGGATAAGTAAAAATAGCCCTTTCATCGTCCCCATGAGTGGTTAAAGATTGTGAATAATTTGGGAAGGAGAAAAGGAGCATGAAGAAGAAGAAGGCATGATGAATAGGGTGGTGCACCACCATTTTCAGCTAATAATAATAAGATGGTGAGGATCGAAGGAGCTAGCAATTGCTCTCGTCTATTATGTTCTTGTATATCAAAGAAGTTTACTGTCCAAAGTCCAACTTTGACTTGAGAGTTTTTGAACAAGTTAGTGGTAGATAGTTTCATTAAACTCACAATTAAAAACAATAATGTATTTTCACAATTTCTTTTTGGGAGATTAAAATTTTTAATTTTGGATTCTTCATTGGGGTTTTTTTTTCTTTATTTTATTTATTTATTAGTTTTGTATAGATGTTATATAATATTAGATGAATGAATATGGAGAATGTTAGACCGTCGAGAACATGAGCCTTAGGATTTGCTTCAACCAATCATACTGCCCTCCCTACTCCAACTCCGACTTTGACAGCTGCCACATTTGAATGATTTGATTATTCCATATTTGAAAATTTAAACAGAGTCTAATTTTTGGCTATGTTTTTTTTTTTTTTTTTTTTTTCCTTAAAACCAAAGAACAGAATTTATATTAAATCACCAAACAAACTGGAAATACAACTAGGCAATCAAGTTTGGTATTGTTTTGTTCCGAATATGAAAAAACTTTGAACATAAAAGTTGCAGGACACTCTCTTAGCTTTCCATAGTCACTTGAATCACCTTGATTGGACTTTATATTAAGGAGATATGATCAAAACACTATCAACTTGTTGCAAGACAAATTCCTCAGGACGTGTCCGAATTGAATGTTATGATATTCTGGTATGAATGCATCCGGAATCTCTCAAAATGTTCAATATTAAAGTTGTTGAGGACTTCCTTATCTTTCCTTTGACACTTGAATCATCTCATTTGGACTCCCTATGAGGACTACTCTTCTTATACTACTATTGAATTGAAATCGTTCATAAATCTTAAAACTCACTACCATTTTTGTTCCCTTTACTTTTGAACAATGGAATAAAAAATGATGAAGAAAAAAATAAAAGAAATCATTCTTTTTTATTTTTATTTTTGAAAATAAAGAACTAATTCATTAATCATAAGTTGAAACAGTTACAATAAAATCGATAAAATGATAAAACATTCTTTACAGTCAAACATAGAAACAACTTTCCTAGCAATGCTAAAAGAAACTTGAATCGCAAAACTGTGTTACAAAATTGAAGCTCGAATTCAATGGAGTAACTTGAAGCTTCTTTGATGTTGTTAATGATCTGGCTATCCAACACTGACTCTATTTGAGAAGTCTTGCATACCACCTGAGTAACTATTGCAGCTCATCTGTCCGTAGACAATATCTTTATTAATCTGAACTGCATATCATGGTTCAGATCTTGTTCGTTGCTCAAGATGAGATAAACATACGCCTTGATAAATTAAATCGTTTCACATTAATGAAAAAAGAACTTGCCAAGAAATGAGAGAGAATAAGTCGCCAAAGAAGCGAGAGGAAATAACTTGTCAAAATAACTAATACACACACTCACATATGTGCGTGTATTATATATTTTTATATATATATTTATTTATTATTAATTAATTAATTAATTTGATGGCAATATAATTTGCTACCAAATAAAAAAATAAAAAAAATCTTCTACTTAAGTACAAAGTATTTAAAATTCAATTATAATTCGTGTTCTTGTTTATAATTTGTCCCTCAAAAATTAGTCCTGACTATGAGAATGACTTGATTGGTGATTGCTCGATTTGAACCATAAATTACGTTGGGTGGACTTGGACTTGGAGTCTACATACTCTGCTAACGGATTTCTAAACCAAAATTCAATTTAAATACTTTTCTTTTAGTGTAACATATTTGGACCAGAATACCTAGAATTGAGTTAATGACCCGGCGTTTACTTCAATCAATCGTTATGCTGTGAAACCGCCTTGCAAAGTATACAATGTTCTATGTTCATAATTATTGAATTATATGTTCATAATTATAAAGGTATATATTCATATTTTTGAATTTCATATTCATAATTATTCAACTCTATATTCACAATTACTGAACTATATGTTCATAATTATAAAGCTATATATTCATAATTTTTGAACTTCATATTCACAATTATTGAATCTCTATAGTCATAATTGCAGAACTATATGTTCATAATTATGTTCACAATTCTATGTTCATAAGTATAGAACTATATGTTCATAATTTTTGAACTTATATTCATAATTATGAATAGTTTTAGAACTGTGTCCACCTTAGCAAAATCTGCAATCTTAGTATTGAATTCAAACTCTGGGACTTTAAGAGTATGTTGCTAGAGTTGATATCTTGATGCAATCATGGTGTATATAATTGATCGTACGAGCTTGAAGACGCAAGCGAGGCCTGTGAACTGTAAACATGCTTCATTAATTCCTCCAAATAGTTAAGTTGCAGAGTGAATTCCATTTTTGGTCCTAAGTGTTATAGGGCGTTTCCAATTTCAGTCCACTTTAATTTTTTTTGCCACTTTACAACCACTGTTATTGAATGTGTTCCACTTTTAGTCTACCGTTAATATTTTCGTCAAGAGGCCGTATAATCAAAGGGTATTTTGGTCTTTTTATGTTTGTCTCTTCTCTTTTAATCCAGGCACTTCGTCCTCCTCCTCCGATATTCGAAGATGGCTCTTCGAACAACGAGAATAGGAAGCCAAACCTACATTGTTTTGTTCGTTCCAACATGGGCCGGCGAGGTTTCTTAGGTTTTAGGTTTAATGTTTCCATTTCTTTAGTCAAACATAGTCTTGGATGAGAAGAAATGTCAAAATACCCCTAGATTACACGGCCTCTTGATGGAAATACTAACAGTGGACTAAAAGTGGAACACATTCAATAATAGTGGTTATAAAGTGGCAAAAAAAATTAAGGTGGACTAAAATTGGAAACGCCCTATAACAGTAGGACCGAAAATAGAATTCACTCTTAAGTTGCATGCATGTTTCAATTCCTGTGAATATTATTAATTTTGGAATTTCAATAATGCAATTACTATTGAGCTCCAGAAAGTTTATTTATCACTTTAACATCTAAGAAAATCAAGGAAAAAAAGTGGAGTTGCATTATGAATTATAAAGGATCCAGCATAACTGCACTGTGAGTGCAATAGTGAAATTAAACTAAACAAACCATTGCAAAATATTTTGCATTCAAAAGTAAAGTGGAAATATTATATTGTCTATTGGTTCTCTAAAGACAGATGAGTGTTTTCGCTGTATCTTTGAAGAATCTGTGAAATATCTTTCATGGACGGCCTGCTTGATGGGGAATTCAAAGTGCATGCAAGGCCTAATTTGAAAACAGCGATCATTGCCTCCAGATAACGTGGTCCTTGATCTCCTCATCTAGGGCATCTGCAGCTGAGTTCCCTTCTCTTTGGTGTTTGTGTGCCCATTGTGCCAGGTTCATATCCTCATTTGCAGGCACGGCTTCTCTTCCAGTTGTCAATTCCAAGAGAACTACGCCAAAGCTGTAGATGTCGCTCTTCGCATCCACTTTTCTTGTACTGCCATATTCTGCATTCTCATGATATATGTGACTATGCAAGTATAAAAATAAGTGGGAGTTGAAGTGATGAAGATATAAAAAAATGTACCCGGGGCAATGTAACCAAAGGTTCCCACAATAGCAGATGCTGTTTCTGGATCTCCTTCACTCGCCATCAACTTTGCCAGTCCAAAGTCTGCAATCTTGACATTGAAGTCAGAGTCGACGAGTATGTTACTGGACTTGATATCCCTATGAACAATGGGTGGATTGCAACCGTGATGCATATAGCAAAGCCCTTGTGAAGCTCCAATGGCAATTTTTAGCCTCCTCTCCCACTGCAAGACTTGAGTAGTTAAGCCTCTTTTCTTTCCATGCAACCATTTGTGAACACATTGTTTGTCCATGTATTCATACACAAGAAGCTTTGTAGTCTTTCCTCTGATGCAGCATAACAATTTCACTATGTTGTTGTGCCAAATTCCCCAAGGATCTTAACCTCTGCTATAAACTGCTTCTCCAAAATGTGGCCTTCGTTTCTTTCATGCCTTATACTTTTAACAGCAACTTTTTGCCTTTCTTTGTGATCACTCTATATACATTTCCTGACCCTCCATTTCCAACCAAATTTTGATCCGTCAAACCACCCAAAATATCCCATTTATTGAATCCCAATCTTTGAAATGAAACCATACTCCATTCTTCTCCATCATTTTCCATTCTCCCTTTCCTGCAAGTCTGATCACGAGTAACTGAGTTACTAACCAAATGAGTACCCTCCAATTACACCACAACCTATAATGATGTAATGCTTTTTCTTTGATCTACTAGACTTTGAAATTGAACTTGGACTTGATTCTTGGCCATAATGAGGATGATGGCAATCATAAAGGCCAGAATTATTGGCAAATGATTTTTCAGGAATTAATAAAAATTGAGCTGCACAAGGTATCGCTCCAGAAAGTTGGTTATTAGACAGATCAATACCTGTAAGAAATATGAGATTGGTCAAAGTTTGTGGAATTGAGCCATTGAGTCGGTTGTATGATAGATAAAGGCTTTCAACATACTCCAAGCCTCCAAGTTCTTGAGGTATTGGACCAGAGAGATCATTATGCCCTAAATTCAGAATATTGAGATACTGCATGGAACCTAATTCCTTTGGAATACTGCCTTCCAACTTATTGTA